CCCGGCTCCGCTGCGCGCGGCGCGGGACGGCTGCTCCTCTGCGAGCTGACACTGCCGGGGCCCGCACCAGCCACGGCCTGCACCGTAGCTGCCTTTCTGCGGGACAGCTCCTCTCCCCTCGTGCTGTGCTCCCTGTGTCCAAGGCTGTTTGCAAATGTGAACCAATAAAAAGTGAAAGAGTTGCCTTAATCAGGCATGCCAAAGCTCTCTGACATCTGACATTATTCCCAGTGACAGGAAGAAGTGAAGGGTTTGTTAAGCATCAGAGAAACGGTGCTAACAGAGGGGCTGCTTTCCCAACCGTCACCACCTCGGGGCCTCCCCAGCCCTGACACCACGGACTGGGGTGGCTCTGGCGGCCCGGCCAGAACAAGGCTGGGCCCTTCCCTGGACCCTGCAAGTGCCCTCAGCCCAGCGGCTGCCCTGCCACTCCTGCAGCTGGAGCCGAGCTCTCCCCCATCCCTGTGGGATTCCCATTCCCGGGCACGTCCAGCACGGCTGCCTTGGGCACGCACCTCGCAGCAGAACAGGGGAAGCTGCAGCTGTGCTTGGGCAGCCCAGGCCTCAGCCCTGCCGGGAGCCGCGCGCCTGCCCCGCGGGAGCCACGGACAGCTTCGTGCGGAGGAATTGGTCCTTCCCCCTCCCCAGTGAGCAGCAAACGCTGAGTAAGTGTAAGGAAACACGCGGATGCCACCTCCCGTACAATCTCACTTAACAAGGCTGAATAACTGAAGTAGAAAATGGTGAAATGTGATTTGCAAGTTTAGCAGCCACCTGCACCCATGCTGATCCAAATGCTGCTGCTGACACAGAATTTGCTGTTACACAGCATCACAAGCACTGTTTTGCCAAACAGTCCCAAATTTAGGTGATATGGCCTAGGTTTTGTTTGCTTTACTCTTAAATTAACGGCTAAGAAAATTTAACAAAAACTAGTATTAGGCCTGTACAATCCATATATAAAAAGGGTTGGTTTATTGTAGTTCAAATACATAAACTGAACAATCCCAACATTTCAAAATTAAACTTTAGAAACACAAGTTCAACATTCAAAACAGGAGTATAGTTTACAAGAATTGCCCAGAAGGGAAATCCACAGTCTAATCCAGAAGTATGTAAAGATCACTTTATCGTAAATAAAAATGTGTTTATACAACCGTCCTGTTCTGTTTTGGTAACCACTGTTATTTACCAAGTGTTTCCAACTTCGAGTAAAAATTATTAGACAAATCTTCACCTGGGCAGAGCAACCTGATTTCATTTCTAATTCATGGAATAGGGCAGGGAACAAAGCAGATCTGTGAACAAATTTCATTTGGTCTCTGTAGTCCTAATTCTCTTCCCACATAGCTGTAACTGACTTTAATGGATTTAGCTCCATTTACAAAGGTGAAAGCAGGACTAGGAAAGCAGGAAAGAGAATCGGGACTTGGGTTTCCAGAACATGGTCTTCAGTAATCAATAATTTAAGCTCCGAGACAGATTTCAGGTCCTCGGCAGGGGCCCCCGGGGAGCTCAAACCACAAGCGCATCGTGGTGCCCTCGCACGTGCGGCGCTGCGGGACGACCCCTGCGCCTCGCGCCCAGACTCCCGCGCTCGAGAGCTGAACTTACGAGACGTGGCCCATGCACGGGGATTATTTTTTGTCAGTCAAATCCCACAACGAAAATCATAAATATCTTTGATATTCTCCCTTTACAGAGACCATTTCATGTTCACAAATGCTGCTTCTTCCTCTGCTCCTCAGATGGTTTTGCAATATATTCACGGTAATGTATATGTATAAACCTGACAGATGGCTCATGCAAGCTCTTTTGAATTAACAGATACCCTTGCCTTAAAGGGTATTTTGTAATTATTTTGTTGTTCGTCTCGTGGGCTCTGAAGCTGTGGGAGGTGGAGGCGGACCTCGACGGTCCAGGTCATCCACGTAGGACACGATCAGTTTGCGCCTCTCCTCT